TGTCGGAGGCTGGATTGTACCTTACGCCTGGACCTCTGGGAATCTGGAACAGCCAAGAGATGGGCGGGTGAAGGGAGCAGTCAAAAGCCTCTCCTTACCACCCCCCAACAGGCAGGAATCTCAGCCTTTCTTGAGGACAGAACTGAGTTCTGCCTCTTGGGGGAGGGGCGTTTAGATGCCAGGATGGTTCCAGGCAGAGTCTGCAGGCACAGACCTGCTCAGACCAGATGGATTGTCAGTGGAGGGGGCTGCTGGAGGGAAGGGCCTGAGAGAAGCATGTGGGGTGGGTGGGCGGTTATCAAACCCAGTTATGGAAGATCCATCCCTGAGTGGCATTCACAACAGTGATTATCTGAAATGGACTCTGCGGGGAGACGCCCCTCCCCCGCAGCAGTTCACCTCCAGCTAGTCTTGAACTCCTGGGCAGGAGGTCAGGGTTCACAAGCACTCCCATTTTTGACTACCCAGGAGTTGACTTCTTTGCATTTCACATCCGGGACTCTCTCTCCTTCTCTCCCTCCCTCTCTCTCCCGCCCCCCCCCCCTTTCCTCCCTCTCTGACTGTTGCAGGACCCTGCACTTCCCTAGTTCCCTGGGTGAAGCACACACTGGCATTTTTATTGTGTATTTCTGTTTCTTCTGTTTTATTCTGCGTTATTCTGTTTCAGTTCTTCAGGTTGTGTGACTTGAAGGGATAGCTGATTTCAGTACCCAAGGGGTACAATGGTTGCACTGCCCATGGCTGGGTCCTGATGCTCAGTCAGAAACCGGCTCTCAGTCAGTACTCCGCGTTCTGCTGTATGTTGTCTTTAAATTTTAATATGGAGAATATGTGCCATCTCTGTGGTTTTCAGTTAAAAATAAAGAAAGGGGCACATCGGGAAAATAGGAAACAATTCCAATTAGATTTTTCTGGAAGTCAGTCTAGCAAGTTGGTCCCCAGCGCTGACTTAGCTCTTTACTCCAGGAAGTATGCCGTGCCCTGGACAGAGGGACAGATTTTGTGGCCTTTGGAGTGCCCACCCGGACTGATATCCTTAGCTCTCCTTTTGATCACGTGCTGTGGCACTGTTCAAATCTCAGTTATTGATAGAAAGAAGGAGATCATGAGAGGCAGGGTGGGTAAAAGTTAATGGTGAGCTTCAAAGGCAGGATCTACATTTGCTTTTAAGATCCATATATACAAGCGTCGACAGTACACAGGCGGGGAGGGTACAGCGAGTAGGTTTTATTTTCTTCAGGATTTTCTTTGCTTTCTGTAATGAGCTCGCATTATTTTAATAAGAAAAGGATATTCTTTTTTTTGCAGGAAAAAATGAAAAAAAGCAAGAGTGAAGGAAGAGGAAGGAAGGTGGAAGGAAGAAGGGTGTTGAGACTCCCTTGGAGCATTGGAGCTGAGGTGGGGGTTGAGGGGAGGGCAGGAGCCTTTGGAACGCACCGAACTCTCCCAGCATTGGCCGGGACGCTTGGGAAAGCCCTGTTTTGCGATCACACCCAGACAGGGGTTGCTTGAGGAGACCCTCAAGTGGCCAGTGGGGACCCGGATTAGCCCGGTGGAGCCTCTGCCGGGCAACTGTGTTCTTAGGGCGGGTTCTGCCCAGCTCCAGGCGACGGCTCCACCGCGTTCTCTGTGTTTATTCTTCCTGAGGTTTTGGGATGAGAAGTGCGCCCGGCTGGGGGGAGGGGGAGGGTGTGGGGGGATGGGGGACGCAGAAATACCATCTGTGCTGATTTTTTCCTTAAAAGTTATTTTTCAATTGAAGTATTTTCAAAGCAAAAAGTATATATAATAAAAAGTAATTCACCGATGTTAGGGTGTCAGTTCCAAGGGTTTTTAGGGAAGAGCGCGCACTGGGGTGGGGGAGCAGGGACTGTCGGGGAACCAGGGGCAAGCTGGCTGGGCAAGGGCCTGTCTCCCATCTTGCCTGTCTAGCCCTACTCACCCACGCGCGCGCCTTGCATCAAGATTTGTGCCACACGTCCCAATGCTCCCCCCCCCCCCGAGGCTCGGACTGCTCAGGGTTCACAGCCCTTTCACCCGGACCTCAACTCTGGCCTAAGAACCCCTCCCTCTTTTCATCTCACTTTTTTTTTTTTTTTTTTTTGCGCTAAGATGTCACCAGCAAAGTGAGGTGCGGGGCGCGCTGATCTCTCATGCTTGTGGAGCCTCCTTCTACTCAATCCGGGAGCTGCGAGCTGCCGAGGAAAGATTGAGGGCGAGCCTTGCGCGAAATCTCCTGGCTACGACTCCACAGGGACGGACGCCAGACGCTGAGACCTCCCTCTACACCCTCCTCCGCCCCCGTCCTTTCCCCATCCTCCCTGTCTTCTTCTCTGCTTCCCATTTCCAAGCAGGGTGAGGTGTGGGCGGCAGTAAGGTTTGGCTAAGAAAGCGGGAGGAGAGGTGTCCCGAGCGCGGGCATCCCCCAAACATCCCCCATCCCTATGGGAGCTGTGCCTGAGTAATTGAGCCGCTGTGCCCCGTGCGTCTTTCTAGTAGCACCCCCCAGCAACCTGGAGGGGTAGTCGGAGACAATTCCACAGGTGCGACCCAAAGACCTGGGCTGGGGAGCAAGGGCAATCCAGGGGTCGGAAACTTAGTCTTTGGCGGTTCAGAGTCCCTTTCGCCTTGCATAGCACACTTCTCCCAGCATTGCCCTAAGCTGGAAGTTAGACGGCTCTGCAGCTTTCCTAGTATCTGTCTCTGAGTGTGTATATGTTTTGTGCGCCGGCGCGGAAACGCACAGAGGCAAAAGAGGACCCTCTTGCTTCACCGCTCTCCTCGTGGGCCTCTGCATCCCAGGTCTTCTTCTGGCCCCAAGTTCTCTGCCCAGGTGTAGCATATGTACCTACGTCTGCGGTCCCAGGGCAAATCCCTTCCCATAGCACCCCACTCTTGTACCCCCCACCCACCCACTGCAATGCCTGGGCTCTTTCGAGCTGCTCTTTCCCCCAGAGTCACAATGGGGACACAAGGGAAAACTTGGTGCTTTATTCTTCTTGCTTTTCAGAGACACGAGAAAATAAAACGGACCAAGGCAATCAGAACAACTTCCTTCAAGTTTTTATTATTGTAGTTTAAAAGTTTATACACAAGGAATGTTTCCAACACAACACTCATTGACAGTTCTTCACCCCCGCCCCCAATCGCGGCTCTCTGCCTAGGGCTCCCAGGCTCTCCCCATCCCCCTTTATTCGAACTAACTAACCCCCTACCCCTTCTCCAAGGAGTTCTAGCCTTCCTCTGGGGCCGATACCTCAAGCCACTTCCTTTGGTCCCTCTTCCACCCCATTTTTGGCGGTTCCATTATGGAACCCAGAGCATTCTCCTCCTCTTACTTTAGGCGCTGTTTTAGAGCCCCCCTGCAATTCAGAGCCGTCCCGTGGACAAGTCCAGTTAGAGACGGTTCGTCATCAGCAGCCGGACTCCAGTGCACCCAAAGCTAGGCGGGGAAAATACCCTGCCCACCCTTTCCCTACCCTGAGTCCCTCCCCCAACTCAGGGACAAGAAATAAACACAAAAGCATCAGGACTCCCTGCGCGCGCGACAGGTGGGTGCCAGGCAACTAGCAAGAGCCTGTGGCGCTGCTGGAACCCAGCTGCGCTCAGGGCGCGCGGGCGTGGCTAATAAGTCAGAGCTGTGAGATGCTAGGCAGGCACGGTCCTGCGTTGCTGAAGGAGCGCTGGGAGCAGGTGTAAGAAAGTCCAGCAGGTAAACTCCATCAGGGACAAAGTTGCCAGTCACAGCAATGCTCCCTAGAGCAAGCCAAGCAGGTACGAATGGGAGTCACTATAGCAGAGTCTTTAGGTGGCTGAGAGCCAGACTCAGCCCGCCAGAGTTCTGTGGCTGTGCGTATCTGTGGCATGGGCACCCAGATACTCTTGACTTCATTTGTAGGACTGGCATGTGGACTTTGAAAGCCTAGCCCTCCGACGTCAGTTACTTGTCCCTGGGCTATTTAGAATCGACGTGGCCTAGTACCATGCAACTGCTCATCATAGTGCTCCAGCCAAGTGCGAAGCTCAGACACCTGGTACCCGTCGGGGCCACGGCCTCCCTGGTACATGATGGTGCCACTCTGGATGACGTAGAGGCGCTCAAAATAGGCACCATATGCGGAACTGCTGGAGTTGGCCATGGTGTCCAGGACCAGAGCACAGTCAGGTGCACCTTGCTGCAGTACCCTTGCCGCACTGACACGGTCCTCCAGGCTACGGTGCTGTGGGATGGTGTAGGGCGAATCTGTGGTGACCCAGCCGTCGGATGGGTGGGCTTCCTCGATGTAGATGATGAGAAAGTCAACGTCACGTTGGTACTTGGTGACCAGGCGCTGAAAGGCGCTCATTCGCGCCATGAATGGTGGTCAGGTACAGCTGCCAAAATTGAGAACCAGTGGGCGGCTCCCTTGCGCATAGTCAAGGATGCGCTGGCTCTGGAAGCTATCTGGCCGGATGACCTCTGAGTTAGGTGCTGGGCCACCCTCGTGGGCCTGCTTGAAGAAATCCAACTTCTGGCCATGCCACACGGCCTTGAGAGAGGCCAGGGTGCACAGACGGTTGTCGTCTGATACGCAGATGGGTGGGTCGTCGGGGGGCACCTCCTCGCCTTCACTGTTGAGCTCTACTTCGGGCTCGGGGTGGTCAGGATGACGACGACGTAGGAAATGCTTACGGATGCACAAGAAATCTAAAAGCCAGAGCATGAAGGCTGTGCCTAGGAAGCGCGGGAACAGCACGAGGCACGAGGCGGTCTGGGCGCAGAGCCTCAGAGAGTGAAGCAGCAGGGAGCGGAGCATGGTGGCCGCGGGCCCCGAAGCCCCCGGGGGTCCTTCACCTTCTCCCACCACCAACCGCGAGGCGGCCTGGCGAGGCATCTGGTCTTCGATGGCGCAGGGAGCTCAATTTATAGCCAAAGCTTGAATTGGCGGGAGACTCCACCTCCGGCCGGGGCCCGCCCCCTTGCAACTTGAGCCCGGAGGGATCACCCAGAGGCGCGGCCAATGCCCCAGAAATCCTGGGTCGAGGGCCGGCGCAGGCTGGCTGAGGGTGGAGCGGTGCGTCCCAAGGCTGGCAGGGGCGGGCCTGAGCCCGCAGCCAGCTCTCAGGGGTGGGGGACCCCGGAGCCGCTGCGGCTAGAGGGGCCAGGAGCCCAATTCCAGGGCCGGAGCGGTCGAGGGTGGTAGTGGTCTAGCCGGCGCTAGCGCCTCGGACAGCCCAGGTCCCAGCGGGCGGGCCCTAGTCCGCGCCCCTCTCTCCGCGCACCTGAGCTGAGTTCCCTGGCGGCCGCAGCGCCGCGCCGGAGCTCCGGTTCGCTTCCCGCGCGCCGCCGCCGCCAACGCCGCCCACGCTGCTGCCGCTCGTGCGGGGTCGCTGCCCAGGTACCGCAGGAGTCCAGGTCGGCGGCCGCCGCTCGGCCGCCCCCCGGCTGCAGCCCCGCCGGGGACGCGGGCCCGCGAGGAGGCAACTTTGGGTTCCCGCCGCCTTCCCCGCTCGCCCGCGGGCGCCGCTCGACTGCCGCAGCCCGTCCGCCCGCCTCCCGCGCGCGCTCACACTCGCGCCTCGCACACGGCCGCCCCCCGCACCGCCCCGCCACGCACACCGCGCTCTGCGCCCCCCGCCGCTGCCCGAGCTTGCTGCGCGCCGCCCCAGTCCGCGCCGCGACCGCCCCGTCCCATCTCGTTCCCGCCGGGCGCCACGGTTCCCGGGTCAGCGTCCCCTCTGCTCCAGCCCGGAGGTGCAGAGGGCAGGACCCGAGGGTGGGCTGGTGCCTGGCTTGGGAGACCCGGAGAGTCGAGGCAAGAGACGCCGAGCCTCGCCCCCGGCCGGCTCCCAGACGCCCTGGGCGCAGGGCGCTGCAGGCGCTGGGCGCGGGGCAGCGGGCGCGGGGCGGCGCCGGCCCCGGGCGGCTCTCCCACTAGGGGTAGCTGTTGCCTGAACGCGGGAGCGCTCCCCTCTCGCCGCTTGCCTCGCCCGGCACAGCCCCGGCCGCCGGGCGCACCCGTCCCGTTCGTCCCCGGACGTTGCTCTCTGCCCCGGGAACGTCGAGACTGGAGCGCCCGAACTGAGCCACCTTCGCGAACCCGGAGCGCGGCGGCCCGACTCACCGCGGAGGCGCCCGGACGCGTAAAGTGCGTACTTCCAACCGGGAACGTGTGCTAAGGCTTTTTAGGGGTGCGGGGTAACTCCCCAACAACGTGGGGTTCTGGTCGGCCCCGCCGCGGCGGTGGAGACCTTCTAATCTGTTTCTGTGCGCGGCGCACCGCTGGCGACTTGGGTTCAGGGGCCGCGCGGGGCGGGGAGGCACCTTGACCTGGGGTCCCCGAGACCCTGAACAAGTCCCGCTTCGTTACATCTCACAGTGACCCCCTCCAGGACAAGGTTTCAACCCCAAGGGTAGCGCCCGGTAGCTGCACTGCTTAGAATACCCCAGCAATCGCAGGGGCTTTTCTGGGGTGCCGGAACCCCAGCCGGATACCGCAGCTCCAGCCGCTTGCGTCCCGTGCGCTGCCCTCCCAGAAGAGACTAGCTGCCTAACTTTCCAGGCTGGAGACCGCTCTGGCGTCCGGGGCGGGTGGGCGCTTGCCGATTGCTCTCCACTAGCCAAGGAACTTGTCCGGAGAAGTCGACCGACCGCCGGGCAAGTGGCCCAGAGGGCGCGCAGGTAGGCGCCCGCCCTCGCCATCGGGTTTCCGAGGTCTCTGCCCGGGAACCCTTCTTAGGACCTGTGGCTGCTGCAGTTGGAGCCCCGAGTGTACCTTAACTCGGAGAACAGAGTACCCTGGGAATGTGTCTCCCCTCCCTCTGGCTGAGGGACTTTCTCTGCTGCTCGGTGGATGGGGTATACACCCCAGCACTTCCCACCTGAGGGAAACCTGCAGACTCCCATTGTTCTAGCCCTCCTGGTAGGGTCTTTCAGATGGACTAGAGAAATCTCCCTGAACATACCTGACTGGGGGGTCCCACTCATATGATTTTATCCTAAAGCAGGGCTTCTCTGAGCTCACAGACCACCGCCCCTCTTCTCTTTTGGAATGGGGTGATAGAGTGAGAAGAGACTCTTGCTAGGGAGTCTGAGAGGCAGATTGGGGGCTTCTGAGACCTTGTCTTGGGTACAGCAAGACATACTTCTCCTCAGCTCAAGATTCTCTTATCTCTGGGAGGCACCAGTCTAGGGCGCATGTCCTGCTCCTTCCCTCAAGGGTCTGGGGCAGGGACATGAGGCAGGTCCTCCCTCTCCACATTCAGTTTCTGAAAAGGCCACCTGGGATAGGTTCATATGTTTCAGGGAGCATATGCCACGTGGGACAGATATAAGTTCATAGTCTGGGACAGATATAAGTTCAGCACTGCTGGTCCTGCTCTATGGACCAGTCACATCTGATCATCACCCCCTCCTGATGTGGGACATCTGGGAAAGCAGCTGGCGGTCTTCCTGGGCATCTGCTGGTGAGTGTGGGAAACAGGCTACACCCCACAGTTGGGGGTTCCTGAGCACTGGATGAAGTACCCAGGCCCCTTTGACTCCTCTGGTCTCCTGCACAGGTGAGGACAGAGCCAAGGTGTGAGTGATTTTGGCCTTTGGGGCACATACCTGGCTTGACAACTCCTACTCCAGTGCCCCCTACCCCTTCTTCCTGTCCCCCCCCCCTTAGCTTCCCCACCCTCTTTTCTCACTGCCCTCTATGCCAGCATCCCCAGCTAGTTATAAATCTCTGGCTTTCTACCAGTTGCTTAAGTGTCCTGTCATGTCCCAATAGCCTAGAGTGGGAATACTGAAGTCTATACGATGCTTGGACCTTAGTGGGAACAGGCAGACTTGGGAGGGGACTCTGGGGACTTCTCCTGTTTCAAGAGCCCAGGAGGGCGCGGGGAGGGGGGGGGGACTCCTGCCTGCCCTCTTCGAGCTCCAGCAGAGGGCAGATCGGGGAGAGAAAAGGAGGGATATATTGGACTGGGTCCATTTGGTGCCCTGGAACAACTCGGGGTGGGGGTGGGGGCCTTGGCATGACTGGGGAGGATGGGACTTTGGCCAGCCTTCTACTCCCAAGATCTGGGTCATAGTGGTCTGCCTGTGAGGGGGTGCTAGGTGGGCCTGGCACTAACCTCTTGGTCTCCCAGCCTCTGGGTGGGGTTGGTGGGTGGGTGTGGCAAGCATAGTCTCTGCCCTCCTTTCCTAAGGCTGTCAGAAGACTCCATGGAAGTTGGTGGGCAGTGCCTGTGGTTTTCACATCTCCCAGCAGGGGTACCTCCTAGGACTCAGAAAAGGCTTCAGCCCCACCCTTAAAGAAGAGTGCTGGAGAACAAGTCTTGTGCCCTGGGGCTGGCCCCATCTCATCATGACTTGGTCGCATGGACTCAGGCCTCTTTGGTCATCACTCTTGTCACTTTTAAGCTGCTTCCCCCTGCACTGACCTCTGGGCGCCCCAGGAGCTTTCCTCTCTCTGAACTTCCAATATGGTGTTCCTGTTGGCTTTTCTCTTTGCTTTTGGACCCCCTCCCATAATCTTTTTTTTTTTCCTTCCAAAGCCCTAGTCTGACCTGTCCCATCCTTCCCCATGTAGGGAGCCCAGTCTTCCTGCCTGGACCATCCTCACAGAAGCACATGCCCTCTGCCTGTTCTCTTCTTCCTCAGTGGCCAGCAGCCTGTCCGACAGATGAAATCCGTGTCTCCGTGGCAGCCCTGCCCCTCCTGGTCCAGCTGGGATCCCCTGGAGTGACTGCTGGGAGGTGCCCAATAAAACTTTGTGCAATGAGTAACATGTGCAGTGTGGCCTTACTGAAAACTCTGGGTTTGGGGGGGATTTCAAGATGTGTCGTTCTGCCCTTCTGCACATGGCAGCAGTAAGCAAGGCAGGGCATGTTGGTGGCAGCGGGGCTGAGTGAGGTCATCTAGGACCTGCTCCCTTTGGGTGTGGCCTCTAGTTGAATATGCCCTTCCCCTGGCCACTTCACCAGCTTTCCCTTTCTAGGCTGGCACCTTTCTAAGCAACACACCCTCTGAGGGAGGTGCTTAGCTCTTTTTACTGGTTTGAAAATGGTCTCTTCTCTACACATCTCTCCACCTCTGACTCATACCAGTCAGTGAGGACACAGAAATAACCCGAGGAGATTGGGCAGCTGGAGGTTCAGCGCTGACCTTGGAGATTCAGGATCTGGACATGTGGCCAATGCCTACCTTGTGCTGTTGTTCCACAAATGCAGAAGTTTCTAGGCACCTTGGAAGATCTTGTCCTGCTCTTGTCTACTTCTCTGGGGATCCTGTGAAATCTCACCCGGACTCACATTCTGGCCACTTGCCTCCAGTATCGTCTTGTCTGCCCCTTTCCTGTCATAGTTCTTAAGGCCCTGTCCCCACCCTCCAGCTCTAACTCAGTCCTGGCACAAGCAAGCATCCACCATGCTCTCTGGGACTCAGCTAGCCCTAGGGGACAGGACAATGGGTAATGCCCCTTACCAGCAACTGTGTGGGTACCTGGCTCCTACCTGGCCTTGGAATGCAGGGCTACTCTTACAAGACAGATTCCCGCCGGCCTAGGAGCCACCTTCTTGTGTTTCTACCACTAAGCCTCTGGAAAGAGGTGGGGTCACCAGCCAGCAGACATGAGTCCCAGATTCCTTTACTTCCAGCAGGTCTAACATTTTAATGCATTGATGACCATGATGTGAAATAAATATGGAGTGTGTGCATGTGTGTGTGCATGCATGCGTGGAACAAATGTGGAGTGTGCATGTGTGTGTGCGTGCATGCATGTGTGTCCATATCTATTCTTGTTCAGATGGAGTTCAGCTTCTCTCCCAGAAGGCATCATAAGAGAGATGAGAGTGTAAAAGCAGGAGTAAAGACACCTCTGTGTAGGGACAAAGTCCAGCCACAGCGAACACTGACAACAGAATTGTGGACGATTCCCTTAACATCCTGATGGTAAACTCTGTCTGCTTATGACACCAGAGGATCAGTGGATGAAACAAGTTGTCTAACTGTGCCCATGCATGCCTGCAGGCCATGCTGGTCAGAAGCATGGCCCAGGCACTGAGGCTCAGTGTGAATTCTGAGTCTCAGACTCCTTGAAGTGCAGCCATCCAGCATGAGTTGATGGACCATGAGAGGAGAAGGCCCTTCATTTCCCACTGCCCCTGGCGTGAAAGACAGTCCGAGGGAGATGGGAGATGGTTATCCTCTGGGGGTGGCCAAACCAGACCCTAGTTCTTGTTTGTTTCTTTTTTTCTCTCTCTCTCTCTCTCTCTCTCTCTCTCTCTCTCTCTCTCTCTCTCTCTCTCTCTCTCTCTCTCTCTATTTTGTTTTTGGAGTGGCTGATTTGTGCTGATCTTTTTTGGCTCCCAACATGGTTTTACCCTTGGTAGGAGTGTCATGTACTCATGGAGAGTGCAAAGATGCCTAGTGAATTTCCTGTGTTGGGTGGTATAGTGGAAAGTTGCCATAGGTGGAGAAGTAGCCTCGAGTTCTTTGTGGCTCTAATGTGAAGCCTGAAGGACTTCCTGTCTTGGTGCTCCTCCTTGGAAAGGGGCCACATACTCTGGCCCTTTGTTCCTGGATATGTGCTGGAGCTGATGACTGTGGACAAATTGAAATAGAAATGCCTGGGGGTATGAAGCGCATAGTATCTGTGCTATGGTGAAGAAGCCAGCCAAACTCTGTATAGCACAGCTCTTGTGACAGATCCATCCAGGGCTCCCGGGTTCAAAGCCACTGTAGTGGGCAGGTGTAGAGTTTGAAGTTCAGTTGCTTGGTGAATGGCATTTCCAGGACTCTTGGCCTGGGCCAGGGTGCAAATACCAACTGTCAGGAGCCATCTCATAAGAGCCAGGCCTTTTTATTCAAGGTGATCCTTGTTAGAGGCCATCCCATACAGCCAGGCCATTCCATCTGAAGGGACACTGGCTTTGTGAATCTCCCAGACCTGCACTCAGATCCCGTGACTGCTGCCAAAAGCCGTGTCCTGAAACTTCAGTGAGATGCAATCTGCTTATTTTTGAAGGGAGGTATTGTCCTTTTTCGTGTGTTTATGGGAGTTTGGGATATGGTGGCTGGGTCATGGCCTGCAGGAGTTGTATCTGCACATATCCTCAGCTCAAAGAAGTTGTAACTGGTGCCCTAATGGAGCATAGAGTTCTACAGAAGCAGAGAGGGAGTGTAGGTGCTGGGAGTTGTGCAGAATCAGGGTCAAACTTAGACTTGATCTTACAGCTTCTGATAGTAGCCAGTCACATCTTCTTCACCTACAAAGTAGAAGCCAGGACCCAGCAGGAGAAGGCTCAGGATTTTCTTTTGGGAAGAATGCTTTACTTACTGGGCCTCTGGTTCCCAGGTCCTCTGCATAGCGTACTTCATCGTGCTCCTAGAATGGAGAGACTCTGCAAGGTGGCAGAGGCAGCTTCAGGGACAGGAAGAGTGCATCTCCTCCTCCCCAGAGTCCCTTGGCACAGAAGCAATGCACATGCCCCTTGGGAGGAATGGTGGCTTCCTGCTTGGCTCTTCTCTAGTCTGTGCCCATCGTCCCTGCTGGGCTCCAGGACCTCCTAGGCATACTAGAACATTCTTGACTCAAGATCCCCAAAAGATGCTGCTGCTCAGGGAAAGAGAAAGATGAGAGGGTGGAGGACAGACTTAGTTCCTGCCTCTGATGTTTGTCTTTCTCTTTCCGGAAGCTACTTCAGGCTCCCCTGGTTGAGTAGGGGTTGTGAGGTGCAGGAGTTGTGAGATTGGGTTGTGGTATGATTCTAGTGACCTCACCCTGTAGATTTGAGATGTCCCCTGGGTAGTTCCCCAGGGAGAGGGGTTGGAGTGGAAGCGGGCTCTTCTTGCCTCTTCTTCCTGCCTGGGGGCTTTTCCTGGGTCTGGTGGCTTCTTCATGTTGGACAAGAGTCTGTTTCAGCGAAGTGGTTCAGTGTGCGAGAAATACAGTTCTTCAGGATGGTAGAAACTCATTCCCGGTTGTCTCAGGAGACATGGCATGAACAATGAGGAGCAAGGGTACTCTGGTGGTTGAAGTGCCTACTGTGTGCCAGGTGCTCAGCTGGGTGTGTTTCCAAGTGTTGATGCAACATTAGGGAATCTCTATGCCTTTCTCACACTCGTAGGATGCTGAGTCTTCCAGGGAAGCACATGCCCCAATCCTGTTAAGAAATGGTACTGCCCATCCACAAGTTGCCCATCTGTCTGCCAGCCTTCCCATCCCATCTGTCCATCATCTATCTACCCACCCACCCACCCATCTATCTCTCCATCTATCCTTCATTTATCCATCCACCCACCCAGCCATCCATCTGTCCATATATTATTCACCCACCCACACATCTTATCTGTCCATCCATCATCCATCTACTCATCCATTCATCTACTCCATCAATCTGTCCATCTACTCATCTGACAGTCCATCTGTTACCCATCTACTCACTCATCCGTGTATCTATTCGGCCATTAATATGTCTCTTTGTCCACCTACTCTTCTACCCACCCATTTGGTACCCACACTGCTTCAACTGATCTGAAGGACCACACCAGCCCGTCTCATGATGGGTTCCTTGGAGAGGTGAGTGCTGGGAGATGCTACTGGCCCGGTGAGGTTCTTAGAGAATAGACTAAGAGATAGGGAGAGGAGAATGGGGCTTGTAGACAGAGATGGCTTCATGGTCATCCTCATAAAGCCCAGTAAAGTATGACTATGGTTTGTCCTCTGTGGTCAGTGGCACAGGATACTGCTGCTTGTGGATGAGTAAGAAGCCACAGTCTTCAAAGACCTGGGTGGAAGAGAAGCCTGGTGAAATCTAAGGGGGAATATCATCTGCTACAGTTCCAAGTGGCTTGGTTGAAGTTAGAGAGGTAACGGTAGGTGCCCACTCAGGTGGAGGTGGTGGAAGGGCTAGGCCCTTGGGGATGGGGCACGGGCATCCTGGCCATGATATCGTCCTTTGGGTCCTAAACCATGATGATGAGGCGCTTAACACTGTTTGCTCAAGCACAGATCTGTTCTCTGGGGACCAACTCCCTCTCTCTCAGATCAGAACTTCTTGCTGTATGCCACCTTGGATCCTCCAGGGATCCTGTTGCCCTGGAGATAAGATCCAGCATCCCAGAATGCTTGAAACTTCCTCCCAGAGACCTGGAAGGAGACAAAAGATGTGGATAGTTCCTAGGAGGGTGGCAAGGTTTGGTTCCAGGAGAACTCCAGCATGGGCCTGTGGGAGCTCACAGGGAGCAATCTTACAACAGCAGCCCTGGGGTGGAGGGAGCCGGTCTTCAGCCTCTAGCACTATGGCCCGGCAGGTGGAGTCTGGGGCATTGAAGGCCAGCATGTCCCAGGGGGTATTTCTCTTCATCAGCGACTGACCACTGTGCCAGAGAGCTACCTACTGCTGGTCCTGAAGGCTTGGAGCTCTTCTTAGGGGTACTGTGGTGACCCAGTGAGAAGGCTGGGGCAGGCTGGCTTTGCTGGACCTTTCAGGCTTATGGCTACGGATGAGATCCTAGTTCTTGGGTTTAAACTCTGGAGCCAGTGGAATTGCTTCTTGGGGGCTCTAGGCCTACTATGGTCCTTGCCCACAGTGATTGGTTCATGGGTGGGGCTTCGGAGGCCTGAACACATTCTATGGAAGGGACTGGGACTGGATCTACCCAGGAATCTGTGGTCAGGGGCTGCCTCAAGGGTGTGCAGGAGGAGAGGACAGAGCCCCCTTCTAGAGCCAAGTAGGAAAGGGGTGAGGTAGAGCTGGGGGGAGGATAAAGTGAA